AGTCACCGCGTCTCGTTATTGGCGCTATTTAAACTTCTGCCCAGCCCAGATGTGCTCACTTGTGCACCCGTGAGCCGTGGTTCCGCTGGAACGCGTCTGAACTCTGACAGAAGCACTCTGAACTTCAGATCTTCAGCGCGCTGTCAATAGCCTGAATGGGAATCATTTCTTGTTATTTAGTTACATCCACAATGTTCTGTGTGTGAGGTTTACAACGTCAGAACACCTGCATGAGACAGGTGTTAATTACAATCTGCCAGAATGACTCGCCACCTTCAGATTCCTCCAACACCGTTAAAAATGATCAAATACGGAACATATCGGCGTGCGCAGGCCAGAGTGCTGAAGCTCGACGCATTGTTATTATGAAGCTATGGCACATGTGGAGGACACACACACACACACACACACACACACGCGCGCGCGTGCTCAAACTATACTTGTTTTCAATTACATTTATTGGGCCCACTTACTTTTTCTTTGGCCCACCCACAAATGAGTTTCTACAATAATGGTGACATATGACAGACTTCTCTGAGCTCCGCAGCCATTACACTTTTCACCTCGCGCACCCCCTAGCCGCAGCTCGCGCACCCCCAGGGGTGCGCGCACCACACTTTGGGAATCCCTGCATAGGCTAACGTGGATTCAAACCGACTCAAATTAAATGTGTTCCATAGTTTTGAGCAAAAGAGGGCGCTAGACTGACGTTTTTTGGCAGAATTATGAGTTTCTTAAGAAAAAGCATGAAAATGCAAAAATAATGACATGTCTACAACACTATTAGACACTCATTTATACTACTTATCAGCAAAAAAGCAGATTTCGTTGCCTTAAATTCCACTTAAACAGAAGTTAGAAAAAATTCACCCCCCTCAGAGTTATCGTGAATGAAAACTAGATCAAATAAAACAGGCTGTAAACATTTCATTTTATTTATTTATAAAGGACCTTAATGCCACCAGCCAAGGCTGCCCAAAGCGCATGATAAAAGTGCATGATAAAATCATGGATCATATGCATTAAAATTACAGACAACAATAAGACCATCCTAAAAAATGGATGTCATAAGATGTAAAAAACACAAACAAAATAAAATCAAAATGCACATAATGACTAAAAACAATAAAAATAAATAAAAACAATCCAAGAATATTACCAGAAAATTAACATTAAAACCAAAATAGTACAAAAAAGTATAAAATTAACGAGATTTGGAATATTGTCTCAATTTAGCTTTCAAACTCCAGACAGTAGACGACAATTAAAGCTAGGCCTGACCAATAAACCCGTCTCTGCAGAGCGAAGAGGTGGAATAGTAACATACCTTTGTAAAAGCTCTGCAGGATAAGGTGGCACTGTTCCGGCAAGCGCCTGGAACATAAAACTGGGAGTTTCATTTCGATGCTACGTTTCACAGGCAACCACTGCATTAAGGACTGGAAATATGTGCTCCCACCTTTTTACCCCATGATGAACCAGGCTGCAGCATTTTGCACCATCTGCAGTCTAGCAATTGCAGATTGAGTCAATCCTGCATATAAGGAGCTGCAGTAATCCAGCCTTGATGGTATGAACGCACACGTCACAGTCTCTAAATCCTTTGTTGAAATCGTTGACTTGATGGTAGATAAGCATCGTAACTGAAAAAGGCAGGATCGAACTACTGCAGTCATTTGGGCATCAAATGACAAGAAGTCTAGTTTTACACTCAGATTAGTGATTAGAGTTTGTTCTTATGGGCCCAGTGACATGAGGTCCACACCATGAGGCTGGCAGTCATGGTGAGTCAAAACTATGACCTCTGTCTTGTCATTAAAACAAAAAAGGTTAGCTGCCATTCAAGAACGTACCTCGTTCAAACAGTTCACCAGAGGCTGAATTGAGCCCAGCGACCCCCGACTTAGTGGCAAATAAATTTGAGAGTCGTTGGCATACAAATGGAAGTTTACATTATTTTTACAAAATGACATTCCCAAGGGTAGCAGGTGGATAGAAAAAGGCAAATGACCTAAGACCAACCCCTGAGGAACCTCCCATTTCAGAGGAGCATCTTCTGATGAACAGGTACCCTTAGAGACACAGAAAGACCTCTCTGAAAGTTAAGATCTCATCCACTGCAAGGCATCTCCAGCAAACCCTACCCATTTTTCCAAACGTTCCAATAGGATATGGTGATCTACTGTGTCAAAGGCCGCCGTAAGATCCAGAAGCAACAAAACCACAGCATCCTCATCATTTGTAGCTAAAAAATATATATGATTTAGTACCCTTAGTAAAAGTGTTTCAGTGCTGTGGCTGGTTCTAAACCCGGCTGCAGGGGCTCTAGGATATCATGGTCGATCAGGAATGTAGACAGCTGTTTATATACAACACTTTCAATTATTTTTGCACAAACGGGAAGATGAGAGACTGGCCTATAGTTAGCATAAACTCGTAAGTCCAACCCCACCTTCTTCAATAGTGGTCTTTCAACTGCATGCTTCAGCTCTTGTGGAAATGTGCTAGAGGAAAAGCTACTATTGACAAGAGTTAAAATGACTAAAACAGTAAAAACACCCTTAAAAACCCAAGCTGACATGGGATCACGATGGGAGCCATTAGAGATACCAATCCAACAGATCTGAAATGGACACCACCGCAAATGAGTCCAACGCAAGAAGCAAGAGGATGTGGAGTCAAAAAGGAGGTTGTTGGAGACAGCACCAAAGAGGATCTCACGGCTGCCGTTTTTTCTTAAGGAACAAAACTTTTCACAGTTTTCTACCAAGGCTTCCAGGAAGTCGTTCTCATTAACGGGCTCTAACACTGAACTCAAAGTTTTAAAGATAACCCGTTGATCACCTGAGGCTGAGGAAATAATGCTTGCAATAAAACCTTTTCTAGCATCCTTAACCTTCTCAGGCTCAAAATAAGTTTTGATAAAAGGACGAACAACTAAGTCCTACGGGGCACTTCTGAGTTAAAAAAATGCTCATGAAATACGTATGTGGAGTAACCAGGTAGGTAGGTTTTAATATAGCACATCTGCAACGCCTGCCTCCAGAAGGTTAACAGCCCTATTGGAGCTTTCCAATTTACTCCTGAAAATGTTTCGAGAAGCTTGAAGTCTGTCTTTTTTCCATGTCCTTTCAGCCCTCCTACAGTTGCACCTGATAAATCTAATTTCTTCAGTGTACCAACCCTTTGATCCAGACCTGGATTTCCTAACAGAGTAAGGAGCAATCTCGTTGAGGGCTGATGTACAGAACAAGTTGACCTTACCACAAAATGTTCCTGGATTTATTGGTGCCGAGTACAACATCGGCCATTGTTTTCCAAAGCTTCAACAAATTCAGATTGTTGTGCATTCAGAAATCGAGGAGCAGATTTTGATATAGTGTGAGTTGGCACATCACAATCAAACATCAGAGCACAGTGATCCGAGAAAACGGTATCAACCACATCAACACGAATAGTTGGAATGCCAAAGGAAAGGACTAAGTCCAGGGAATGTCCATGCATATGAGTGGGACCTGTATTCCATGAAACAACATTAAAAGACTAAAATTAAAAAAAAATTCCTTAACAAGTGGTTTGTCAGGACAACACACTTGAATGTTAAAATTAGGGGTGGACAATATATCGGCATCAATATTGGTATCGGCCGATGTTAATTATTTTTAACATATCGGTATCGGTTCGATAAATAAAACTGGGCCGATGTTAACAACTGATATTTTTTTCCATTTTGTCTCCATTTGTTTGCCTGTTTCAGAGAGTGAGGGGGTGATGTGTATCTGTTTAGTCATGTGAACAGTGAGAGAAATCATCTGAGAAGCGTAAATGTGTGTGTTGTGTGTACATAATAACGTAAATTCAACTTTAATAGTCTTCATTCTATACAAAATCTGCTGATTTTAGAAGCATCAATGTCAGTATATCGGTATCGGCAAAGATCGGTTGTCGGCCATAAAAGTGATCTTAATATTGGATATCGGTATCAGCCCAAACTTTTCATAAAGGTGCATCACTAGTTAAAATCCCCTAGGATGACAGCATGATCATAATTAGGCAGACAAACTGCCAACAGGTCTGCAAAATCAGATAAAAACTTAGTATTGTACTTTGGTGGACAGTAAATAAGAACTCCTAGGAGTCTAGAGGCTGGACCAAAGTCAAAAAAACAAAGTTCAAAGCTGTCGAAAGGTACACAGGACTCCATTTCCTACAATTAAGACCGCTCCCGCCTCCTGACGACGCAGAGCAGCCCACCACCCTTACCCGAACACCATGGGACATTAAAACAGATACTGGTAATAATACTGGTGATACTGGTCATCTGATAATAATTCCATAAGCACTCCAGTGTGTCCAGGGGGGACCCAACTTTCAACTATTCCAAAGAAATTGAGCCTCTGTGTTCTGAAATAGTCATTTAAAATGAACCATTTGTTCATCACAGACCTTGTGTTGAGGAGCCCAAACCTTATAGTTGGTAGGGACGTAGAAGTACAACGTTGTTTTAAAGGGGAACGTTTATTTTTAATAAGGTTGCACTTGTTTCTTTTATTCACGTCACAGACATTATGGGTCTATTCCCATAAACTGGCTCAATCGATGCATATGAAGAAGAGGATGAGCATGCGGAGTATCATTGGGAGAACTGCGGGAAGGATTGCACCACGTGTTGTAACTCTGAGACTAGCAACATGTTTATTTCTGCTGTGGAACTGACATTTTTAACACGGGAGTCAGTGAGACCGCTCACGTCTGGTGCCAGCCCCTAGTGGATGAGGGTGGAACTGAAAATTTGCCACTTCCGTGTTGACTTTTAATTTGTTGCCGAATTTTGGGGACTGGATCTACACGGACTAGAGAGGTGAGAACACACACACACACACACACACACACACACACACACACACACACACACACACACACACACACACACACACACACACACACACGCGCGCGCGCACAGCAGAAGCGCTCGTTGAAAAATCTCGCCTGATGTGAACAGAGGAGCAACGGGCAGCGCGCGAATTTCGTGAGCGATCCGCTTCGCAGCTGATATGAACCTGTCTTGTTTTGAAAGTTATACCGGAAGTAGTACAGGGTACAAGCGAGGAGCTTTACGTCTCGCGCTGCTCAGTCCGGTTATCGTAGAGATGGGAGCCGCTTCTGTCCTCTCCAGGTAGGGACAGTGATTATGACCAGGTGTCTGTAGTTCAGGTTTCTGTAGTTCAGGTGTTTGTAGTTCAGGTGTCTGTAGTTCAGGTGTCTGTAGTTCAGGTGTTTGTAGTTCAGGTGTCTGTAGTTCAGGTGTCTGTAGTTCAGGTTTCTGTAGTTCAGGTTTCTGTAGTTCAGGTGTCTGTAGTTCAGGTGTTTGTAGTTCAGGTGTCTGTAGTTCAGGTGTTTGTAGTTCAGGTGTCTGTAGTTCAGGTTTCTGTAGTTCAGGTGTTTGTAGTTCAGGTGTCTGTAGTTCAGGTTTCTGTAGTTCAGGTGTTTGTAGTTCAGGTGTCTGTAGTTCAGGTGTCTGTAGTTCAGGTTTCTGTAGTTCAGGTGTTTGTAGTTCAGGTGTTTGTAGTTCAGGTGTCTGTAGTTCAGGTGTCTGTAGTTCAGGTGTCTGTAGTTCAGGTGTTTGTAGTTCAGGTGTCTGTAGTTCAGGTGTCTGTAGTTCAGGTGTTTGTAGTTCAGGTGTCTGTAGTTCAGGTGTTTGTAGTTCAGGTTTCTGTAGTTCAGGTGTCTGTAGTTCAGGTGTTTGTAATTCCGGTGTTTGTAGTTCAGGTGTCTGTAGTTCAGGTGTCTGTAGTTCAGGTGTCTGTGGTTCAGGTGTCTGTAGTTCAGGTGTTTGTAGTTCAGGTGTCTGTAGTTCAGGTGTCTGTAGTTCAGGTGTTTGTAGTTCAGGTGTCTGTAGTTCAGGTGTTTGTAGTTCAGGTGTTTGTAGTTCAGGTGTCTGTAGTTCAGGTGTTTGTAGTTCAGGTTTCTGTAGTTCAGGTGCCTGTAGTTCAGGTGTTTGTAGTTCAGGTGTCTGTAGTTCAGGTGTTTGTAGTTCAGGTGTTTGTAGTTCAGGTGTTTGTAGTTCAGGTGTCTGTAGTTCAGGTGTTTGTAGTTCAGGTGTCTGTGGTTCAGGTGTTTGTAGTTCAGGTGTTTGTAGTTCAGGTGTTTGTAGTTCAGGTGTCTGTAGTTCAGGTGTTTGTAGTTCAGGTGTTTGTAGTTCAGGTGCCTGTAGTTCAGGTGTCTGTAGTTCAGGTGTCTGTAGTTCAGGTGTTTGTAGTTCAGGTGTCTGTAGTTCAGGTGTCTGTAGTTCAGGTGTCTGTAGTTCAGGTGTTTGTAGTTCAGGTGTTTGTAGTTCAGGTGTCTGTAGTTCAGGTGTTTGTAGTTCAGGTGTCTGTAATTCAGGTGTCTGTAGTTCAGGTTTCTGTAGTTCAGGTGTTTGTAGTTCAGGTGTTTGTAGTTCAGGTGTTTGTAGTTCAGGTGTTTGTAGTTCAGGTTTCTGTAGTTCAGGTGTCTGTAGTTCAGGTGTTTGTAGTTCAGGTTTCTGTAGTTCAGGTGTCTGTAGTTCAGGTGTTTGTAGTTCAGGTGTCTGTAGTTCAGGTGTCTGTAGTTCAGGTGTCTGTAGTTCAGGTGTCTGTAGTTCAGGTGTTTGTAGTTCAGGTGTCTGTAGTTCAGGTGTCTGTAGTTCAGGTTTCTGTAGTTCAGGTGTTTGTAGTTCAGGTGTCTGTAGTTCAGGTGTTTGTAGTTCAGGTGTCTGTAGTTCAGGTGTCTGTAGTTCAGGTGTCTGTAGTTCAGGTGTCTGTAGTTCAGGTGTTTGTAGTTCAGGTGTTTGTAGTTCAGGTGTCTGTAGTTCAGGTGTCTGTAGTTCAGGTGTTTGTAGTTCAGGTGTCTGTAGTTCAGGTGTTTTTTAGTTCAGGTGTTGGTAGTTCAGGTGTTTGTAGTTCAGGTGTCTGTAGTTCAGGTGTTTTTTAGTTCAGGTGTCGGTAGTTCAGGTGTTTGTAGTTCAGGTGTTTGTAGTTCAGGTGTCTGTAGTTCAGGTGTCTGTAGTTCAGGTGTCTGTAGTTCAGGTGTTTGTAGTTCAGGTGTCTGTAGTTCAGGTGTTTTTTAGTTCAGGTGTCGGTAGTTCAGGTGTTTGTAGTTCAGGTGTCTGTAGTTCAGGTGTCTGTAGTTCAGGTGTTTGTAGTTCAGGTGTTTGTAGTTCAGGTGTCTGTAGTTCAGGTGTCTGTAGTTCAGGTGTTTGTAGTTCAGGTGTCTGTAGTTCAGGTGTTTTTTAGTTCAGGTGTCTGTAGTTCAGGTGTTTGTAGTTCAGGTGTCTGTAGTTCAGGTGTTTGTAGTTCAGGTGCCTGTAGTTCAGGTCCATATGATCAGAGGTGCCCTCACTAAGGAAAACCAAGCCTTTGGTGTTGAGAGTTTGTAAACCTAACCTGGATCCTGTCTCGTGGCTCTTGGACCTCACAGTCCAGGTTTGGGCTCCTGCTGATGGGCTGTAGAAGCTGTTCTGCAGGTTTTGTATCCTGGTGTGGGCTCAGGTGCTCTGGGACCCATCCCACTTGATTCAGTAGTTGAACCCGCTCCTCAGGAGCCAGTTAAAGGCCCACTGGTCCAGACCAGGTGTGTTGGAGCAGAGGAGCACCTGCAGCCCTACTTCAGACCCAAGAACAGCTAATTCTGTATTTGTTGATCTTTCACTCGTTTAAATGGTTAAGTTGAAGTGAGTCATTCCTCTGTGCCCTGCAGCATCATCCCGTCTGGAGTGTGAGGGTCAAGAGATGGACCATTAGCTCAGCCCTGCAGCAAACTGAACGTGCATTCTGAAGCAGAGATGAAGGACCTGATCTCAGCTGTGGGATGAAGACAGAACCAGAGTCACTGAACATGGCCTGCATTCAGCAGCTGTCTGTGTCAAAGCTGGAGGCTGAAAGCCTTCTCCTGGAGGATTACTGACAGCAAGGCACGCTGCCGGGTCCGGACACCTGTCGGTGAGCCTGTGATGTCACCTCTAATCATGGGGAAGGAACAGGATCTTCTGGTGGCGGTGAAGAACGGAGATCTCCTGTTGGTTCACACACTTCTCACCAAAGTGAAGAGCAACAAAACGAGTGAGTGCTGGGGTCTTGGTGCAAAGGGTGTTAGTGTGTTAGGCTGTCGGATCCTGAATGGTGCTGCTGGCAGCCATGTTTGTGATACTTAACCACCTGCTGTCTGTAGAATAACTACCGACCAGATCCAGACTAAGTGGATTCAAACAGAAGCTAATCTGCTAAATGACCATGCCTGCAGCTCCTGCATCGTGCTGTGCAGGTTTTAACCGGCTCATTTCAGAGATTTCATTCTGCATCGGGTGATAAGCGAACTTGTTTTATTGTAATTTAGTTTCACACACGAAGGCCTTCCAGGTGGTGAGGTTGTTCGTGTAGGTGGAAAAAGGCCGGTGGGGTTCCAGAATGAGGCAAACTGTTCCTGTGGCCATGTGCAGAACGCAGCTGCCTGGAAATAAAATAATCTAGAAACTGGGTCATTTTTCAGGCTCCCTCTGGGTGTGTAAGCTAAAGGCTTCAGGTGAACCTGTCAGGAGAACCAGGTTCCCAGTCGGAAACCACTCCAACAGGGAGATGCTCAAGAAGTGCTGCTGCGCTCCAGTTTGCCATCTCCGCTGATTTAGTTCAAAAAGTAAAACTTATTGCCCGCGTTTACTTTCATTTTCAATATAGATGCCAGCAAAATTTGTGCAATGCCATGCCGGCATGGTGCGTTTATAAGACCCACGTCGCGGTGATATTACGCCGGTGAAGGTCTGTAATTTCTGTCTGTCTGTCCGTAGAGAGTTGTTCTGGTCATCTTCATCACATAAACAGTTACTCACAGAGGTTCGTACTGCTCAACATAAAGAGCTTGACCACGCAGTTGGTCGGTGTGTCAGGGAGGAGGGATGAAAACTTCAGCAGTCACAGAGCCATACTGACTTCAGCGTGTTGCTAAACTGAAGTGAATGGATGACTGAGCGGTTAAAATCTATTTATGGGCTTCATAGTCGCCACATTTCTGAGTAAACTCTATGCTGAGTAAGAGGAGTGTTTACCTACCTGAATGTTTTATCTAAAGTGGGCAGCAGTAGCTCAGGTGGTAGAGCGGGTTGCCTCATGATCGGAGGGTCACGGGTTCGATTCCAGCTCCCGCCAGGGGTATCCTGCTGTTGTGTCCTTGGGCAAGACACTTCACCCAACTCGCCTGTGTTAGTGGTGGTCAGAGGGGCCGACGGCGCCAAACGGCAGCCTCGCCTCTGTCAGACCTCCCCAGGGCGGCTGTGGCTACAAGTAGCTTACCATCACTAGCAGTGTGTGAATGTGAGAGTGTGTGAAAGCGTCTTTGGGTGTCTAGAAAAGCGCTATATAAGTTCAATGCATTATTATTATTATTATTATTAAAGTGATTTAATAATGCCCGACTGCTTCACAATAATAATAATTGTTTATTCTGGAAATAATAATTTATTTCAGGTCATAAATACCACAAATGAGTACTTGCTGAATTTAATAATGATTTATTATCAGTATATTCACATATTAATATTGTTATATTGATAAATGACTGTTTAACAGATTTAATTCACATAAAGTTGAATAAGCCTTTTCTAAGTGTTTGAGGAAAGAGTGGTGTCTGAGATATCATGGTAAATGCCCATTTTACACTTGGTAGGTTCTGATTTGACTAAATCTATAAACAACAGTTAATAAAGTAAAGACACTTGTTCTAAAAAATGAGATCCAACGAGCTTCAGCTCGTTAGGCGAATCTGTTTCAGCGACTAAAACACCATTCTTTCAAGGTCAAACTTTCTTTGCAAAACTGCAAAACTCCATCAGAGAAAAAACTCTTAAGACGTTAAACGTCTTGCCAGCAGACCCGGGACGTATCCCATCGGCCACCCGTGCAAATTCAAAGGAAGCTACGACCATTGACACTCCAGAAGTCGACTCCTGTCAACAGCTGGACCGACACGACTTCCGTGCCAGGTCCCATCACAAGGGTAATCATAGTCTCTCACCTAGCATCAGATGGTTTTAAATCTTAAATTGATAACGTGTTAAATCTAAGTACACATTCAGCCAGACATATTTTACAATCCAGACGTCACAATTTTCTGAGTCACTTAATTAGGTTTTTCATAACATCTAGGCTCATATTTCATCCTAGCTCATTCAATGTCTCAGTTGACATCACCTTAACTCGTCATGTATTTGTTCTGCATCATCATAGTAGTAGAAATATAGTATTAAATAGATTTTTAGAAACATACTTTTGCCTCTGTGTCAAATTGTTATAAAGTGTTGTTCCTTGGCTTTCCTAAATTACCTAGTTTCCACATCTATCGCATATTAAAGGGTCTATAACATTGGTAATCCATATTTTTATGGAATATTAAATTTTATTGAATACCTTTAAATTCTATTTTATAACTACGCAGGGGTGGGGTTAGCTCTGTCTGTGCAGACGATATAACAAAACCTCTGGTCGGCACTCGGCAGCCACGGTGAACAGGCTCACTAAAACGCAAAATGGACATCATCAAATAATAAAAGTCCTAACCCTTTTGACACTACTGGTTGCTGGAACACACATATGAAGGATTGGACTTCATCCCATTTAATCAACTAGTCTCCCAATTTGGAATGGATAAGAATAGCTTTTTAGAATATCACCAAATTAAATCTGTAGTCAAACAAAAATCTAAGCTCAATAAAATAGAATTACAAACACCACCAAGGGTATTAGACTTTTATAATCTCAAACCCCCCAAACTACTGTCTAAAGTATATAAGACACTGACACTACTGGGTGCTAATGATCAGCGTTGATCTTACTTGCGCTCAATGATAGTTCGACGTGTTCGACTGTTTCCAACGGTCATTTTATTTTCATCATTCTTTGCTTGATACCTTTTTCTTTTGTAGCATTTTCATTCATTTTAAAGACTACATGTACTTCCAGTGAAACACAATAGAAAACGGTTTGACTGCTTTCATCAGCAACACCTGACCAGAATTACAAGTTGCACCTAAATAACCCCCTAGTGGCAATAAAAGGCAAAACAAAAGCAACATGACTCCTACACACCGGCTCATAATTGCGTGTGATGGGAAGGCAATGCAAATAATAAAGTTAAATGCAAGGAGTCAAAATAATTAAATGTTAAGACATTAAGGTCAAGGTCAATTTTATTTATAGAGCGCATTTACAGCAGCAAAGCTACACCAAAGCGCCGTACAAGCTAAAACAAATCAAGGGACAACAGATCAACAATAAAAACCTAAAATAAGACGAGCACACAACAGTCACAATCTATGATAAAAACTGTTAAAAACTAAGATGCTCAAGTCAGCCTGCATTAAAAGCCAAATCAAAAAATTGTGTCTTAAGAAGGGATTTAAAATGCTCTAGATTCTGTGTGGTCCTGATGTTGAGAGGTAGCTTGTTCCACAGTTTGGGCCCAACCACAGAGAACGCTCTGTTGCCGCGAGTCTTGTGGCGGGTTTTTGGAACTGTTAAAAGAGCTTGAGAGCTGGACAGGAGTTCTGGCAGGGACGTAAGCGGACAGCAGCTCAGAGATGTAAACTGGGGCCAGGCCGTGAAGGGATTTAAAAACAAAAAGTAAAATTTTGAAATGGATCCTGTAAGAGACAGGAAGCCAATGGAGAGAGACCAGAACCGGGGTTATGTGATCCCATTTGTTGGTTCCAGTCAGCAAGCAGGCCGCTGCATTTTGGACCAGCTGAAGTCGGTGTGGGGAGGACTGGTCCAGGCCAGAATACAGGGAGCTGCAGTAGTCCAATCGGCAAGACACGAACAGGTGGATGACATGTTCGAGGACATTAGCAGGAAGGTATGGCTTCACCTTTGCTATCTGCCTTAAATGATAAAAACCTGATTGGACCACTGCACTCACCTGTCTTTGAAGATTAAAAGAACCATCTAAAAACACACCAAGGTTGTTAACACCGGGTTTTAGAAAACCAGAACAAGGACCAAGAGGAATAACAACATAGTTTAAAAGATTAGGACTGCCAAATAGTAAAATTTCTGTTTGTTGATTGTTGAGCTTAAGAAAATTAATGCACATCCATTGTTTGATGCTTTTTAAGCATTCCAGTAATGAGCCAATTGACCTGGCATCACTAAGTGGCAAATAGATCTGAAGGTCATCAGCGAAACAGTGAAAAGTAATTTTATACTTCTCAAAAATGAAGCCTAAGGGAAGCGTATACAAAGAAAAAAGTGCTGGACCCAAAATGGAGCCCTGAGGAACCCCACATGTCAGAGGTGCTGTTTTCGAGGTAAAAGGTCCCAGATTAACGGAAAATGACCTTTTGTGAAGGTAGGATTTAAACCACTGGAGAACATCACCTTGGAGACCAACGCATGACTCTAGGCGGGACAACAAGATGCCGTGATCGACGGTGTCAAAAGCAGCCGACAGATCAAGTAAAACCAAAGCTGCTGACTGGCCCGAATCAGCAATTAAAAGAAGGTCATTAAAAACTCTTAAAAGAGCACTTTCAGTGCTATGATGGGGCTTAAAACCTGACTGAAAATTTTCTGAAATGTTGTTAAGGGACAAGTAGTCCTGGAGCTGAGCGTAAACAACTTTTTCAAGAACCTTAGACGGAAACGTCAGTTTTGAAACTGGCCTAAAATTTGAGAGAACAGTCTGGTCAAGATTTGGCTTTTTGAGAAGAGGCTGAACAACGGCCTGCTTAAAACACTGGGGAACACGACCTGAAGAAAGGGAAGTATTAATTAACTTCAGGATGAAGGAACCAACACTGTCAAACGCTTTTTTTAGCATAAAAGATGGAAGACAGTCCAATGGGCAATAAGAAGATCTCAAGTGATGAACAACATCTGATAATTCCTCTAAAGAGACGAGTTCAAATTGGCACAGGAGGAACAGCACTGTGAAAAGAACTAAGGTCAGAAACAGAAAAAATTGAAATAGAGGACCTAATCTCCTAAGTAAAAAGCCTGGAATTTGTCACATAGATTTTGTGAGGGAGCAACACCGCTGTCATTTCTTGGATTAACAATACTGTTAAAAACTTTAA